ATTAAAGAAAAATATGGGATAACAATTGACTCAAACAACAATGGAATATTAAAGAAAAATATGGGATAACAATTGACTCAAACAACAATGGAATATTAAAGAAAAGTATGGGATAACTATTGACTCAAACAACAATGGAATATTAAAGAAAAGTATGGGATAACAATTAACTCAAACAACAATGAAATATTAAAGAAAAGTATGAAATAACAATTGACTGAAATAACAATGGAATATCAAAGAAACGTATGGGATAACAATTGGAAATAACAATGGAATATCAAAGAAACGTATGGGATAACAATTGACTCAAACAACAATGGAATATTTAAGAAAATTATGAAATAACAATTGATTGAACTAACAATGGAATATCAAAGAAAAGTATGGGATAACAACTGACTCAAACAACAATGGAATATTAAAGAAATGTATGGGATAACAATTGACTCAAACAACAATGGAATATTAAAGAAAGTATGGGATAACAACTGACTCAAACAACAATGGAATATTTAAGAAAATTATGAAATAACAATTGATTGAAATAACAATGGAATATTAAAGAAAAGTATGCCATTGTTGTTTGAGTCAATTGTTATTCAATATTTAAGAAAATTATGAAATAACAATTGATTGAAATAACAATGGAATATTAAAGAAAAGTATGTGATAACAATTGACTCAAACAACAATGGAATATTTAAGAAAATTATGAAATAACAATTGATTGAAATACCAATGGAATATTAAAGAAAAGTATGGGATAACAATTGACTCAAACAACAATGGAATATTAAAGAAAAGTATGGGATAACAATTAACTCAAACAACAATGGCACATTAGAGAAAAATATGGGATAACAATTGACTCAAACAACAATGGAATATTTAAGAAAATTATGGGATAACAATTAACTCAAATAACAATGGAATATTTAAGAAAAATGCGGATAATGAACGACTCAAGAACAATGGAACATTATCTCTACCTATCTTGTTATAAAATGACTGAAATACAAACACACTTCAAGGGGTATTATGAATATATATATATATGTCATAATCATTAAGACTTGTTTGACTTAAGCACGAGTATAATGAATTATCTGATTTCAAAATGACATGTAAAGTATTGAGAACTTCTGGTGAAACATAACCTTATTACAGAGATCAAACGTTAAAGTAATGATATTCTAACTCAATTATCTGAGTGAATACTACAATATAAGTTGAGCGATATACAAGATTAAAAGGGTGAATGAAATATTTTCAAAGTTATAAAGAAAGTTCAATAAACTAATGCACAATTTGTGAAGAGTATAAACTAAAACCTGCACTCGAGTTAGTAACTACGTTTTAGAATTCACAGTTGGTTAACGACTTATATTATGGTAGATTAAGAAGTCATATATGTCAATTATATGAGTGAAAAAAACTTTAGTATATGTTAGCGTTTCTTGTCTTGAGACTTGTCGTTGAGCCACTGAGGGGACGACACGTAATCACAAAAATCCAGTTACAACAAATACAGGAAAAAAATAGGTAAACAGACAATACCGTGTAGAGTAACTTACAATGACGTTTAAATCCACACTAACGGAACAACAGCAATGTTAAGTAGAAACTTAACTTGTCCTCTTCGATACAAACATGACATGTGAAACGTCGAAACTAGTTTCTACTTAACTTTGCTGTTGTTCCGTTAGTGTGGATTTAAAAACCCTCTTTGTAAATATATAGGCAACCTTCAAAGAGAAGAGAGGTGATGAGTTTTTACTTATCTCTGTCAGAACTACTTACCTTCTGTATACACAGCATTCTCGTACTTTAGCTGGCAGAGCACTGATGCTGTTTCTTTAAGGGAAAGCTCCCTTGAAACATTCATTATTTTGGTGAGAAGGACTTCTTACGAGTCACTGACATTTAATCTACTGTAGACGCCCAAAGTCTGAAGAATTGAGAGTCTGGTCTGATTTTTAAAGACATTATTCATGTTGGTTACACATTTATAACTTGAAGGTTTAAATACCTATATGCCACAAAATTTAAAGAGGATTAGTCCCCCATGGTTGTTGTATTCACAGTGAAAATCTTTCAACAACTTCTTCTACAAGCCAAACTAAAAGAGGATTAGTCCCCCCATGGTTCTTGTATTCACAGTGAAAAACTTTCAACAACTTCTTCTACAAGCCAAACTAAAAGAGGATTAGTCCCCCATGGTTGTTGTATTCACAGTGAAAAACTTTCAACAACTTCTTCTACAAGCCACAAGTAACAAACACAGCTTTCGTTCGTTGTTCACATGAAATACTTTTCGCACGAGTTTATGACGTCATTGCTAACAGCCAATCGATTGCAGCTTTCAAGACTGTGGAGTACATTTTAGATGTTTTAAGAAAAAAATAGAACTTGGAAGGTTTATTGAGTCAGTCAGGCATATAACCGAGAATCATTTATAATTACATACCCAAAACATGGAAATTTGTTGAGTAAGTCTACCAGACAGATAAACAAACCCATATTTATAATTTTTATAATTACATAACAAAGCCAGGTATTTTGTTGAGTATGTCTACCAGACAGATAAACCAACCCATATTTATAATTACATAACAAAGCCAGGTATTTTGTTGAGTATGTCTACCAGACAGATAACAAAGCCATATTTATAATTACATAACAAAACCAGGTATTTTGTTGAGTATGTCTACCAGACAGATAAACAATACAATATTTATAATTACATAACAAAGCCAGTTATTTTGTTGAGTATGTCTACCAGACAGATAACAAAGCCACATTTATAATTACATAACAAAGCCAGGTATTTTGTTGAGTATGTCTACCAGACAGATAAACAAACCCACATTTATAATTACATAACAAAGCCAGTTATTTTGTTGAGTATGTCTACCAGACAGATAACAAAGCCACATTTATAATTACATAACAAAACCAGGTATTATGTTGAGTATGTCTACCAGACAGATAAACAAACCCACATTTATAATTACATAACAAAGCCAGTTATTTTGTTGAGTATGTCTACCAGACAGATAAACAAACCCACATTTATAATTACATAACAAAGCCAG